ACACAAACACACACACACAGACACACAAACACACACACAGAGACACACAAACACACACACAGAGACACACAAACACACACACAGAGACACACAAAACACACAGACAGAGAGACACAAACACACACAGAGACACACAAACACACACAGAGAGACACACAAAACACACACACAGAGACACACAAACACACACACAGAGACACACAAACACACAGACAGAGAGACACAAACACACAGACACGTGCAACGCTGGTTTCAAACCAACCTCTGCCCTCCTCTTAAATCATCCCCCCCCTTACCATCCTTATACGCAACCCCCCTTAACCCCCTACCTACATGGCTCGTATGTGTCCCGTGTCCCGTGCATCGTGCCGTCCTCTTTATGTAAAAGAATACACACGCGGACAAACACGCACACGCCCGCTCGTACACCCCTCCCCCCTTCCCCCCTCCCCACCTGAACAGCTCGGGCTCCTCCTCGTCACTGAGCTGCAGGGTGCCCAGCCCCGGAGTACTCAGCCGCATGTCCACCACTTGCTCGTCCACGGGGGGGATGCGGGGGCCGGTGCCGTGCGCACCAACCTGGGGGGGAAATACACACACATGCACACATACATACATACGCACACACCAGGGTAGGGGAGAGGTGGAAGGGGACGGGGGGAGTGCGAGCGGGGCAGCAGGAAGGGTGCACATATTCCTTAAACGCGGTGTATCAAGGTGCAGCAAACCCAGCTGTGTCAACTCCCAAAGCACTAAAGCCCCGAGTACGAAGGGGGAGAAAGGGGGGAAGGTCCGCAGATCATCTAGCCGTACAGAAGCCTGTGCTGTGCAGCTGGGGGAATACGTTTCGGTTTTAGCTGCATGGCTCCCACGTATCGGGCTTACAGCAGGCATCCATTCAAATCCATGTAAGCCTGCCAAGCCGGGCTAACCAAATCCAAATCGGCAAGAAGTCGGCAAATGTACATGTCCAGAATACGAGGCAACATGTTCCCGGCACCCGCCCCAGGGCTTGTGTGTGCTGCCTGTTCTACATGTGTATGTGTGTATGTTTGTATGTGTGTGTGTCTCCTGCCTGTGTTGTCCAAACCCGTCACCGAGGGTACGCGTGTCGCGTCCCTCCCCCCTCCTCCCCCCCTTGCCGGTCCTCCCATCGCCGTACATAACCCGTGTCCCCCCCCCCCTTCTTCACCTGCGTGATGCCCCCAATCTGTTGCTCCCTAATGGAGGCGTAGTTCTGCAGCGCCAGGCCCTGGGGCGCCAGTGCCTCCACCACCTGCTGCACCCGGGCGCCGGCCTGGACAGTGACCTGGGGGGAAGGAGGGGGCCGGGAGAAGGGGTGGAGAGGGGGGAAGACGAACCATGAGCGAGAGAAGCTGATGGCAAGGAAAGGCTGCTGCGCCAGAATCAGAATACGGAGGCCG